AACACCTCATGAGAATCTTCGAAACCGCTTGCATCAAAAAACTGATGATGCAAATTATGTTTTCATGGGTTTCACCATTATTGATTTGAAGGTTTACTTACATTCCAACTTCAAATAACGTGCACCATTACAGTCTTCATATGCAACAAGAAATTTGTACTAAACCAATCAGGAGGAAGCTTGATGTTTATTGAAGATCCTTCATTTTGATGGCTGAACTGGTTTGAAATTTCATACCTCGAACATTTAATGGCAACAAAAGATCTCTTGCTTAAATTATGTAACATGGATATAATGAGAATGAGAAATGAGGGATGAAAAAAATCTCCAAATTGGATGCATATGCGCAAAGCTAGAAAGATAGAAAGCAGTTGGTTGCACAGAGTAATTAAGCTGGATGACAACACGTTTACACAAAAAGCCCCCAAATTTACACGTTTTACGCATAAAGTTCTGCTTTTGTATTTTCTTGTTGGGTCCATGTAGGAAGAACATGCATATGGCCCAATTTACAAGTTATAACCACCGCAACAAATTTTTTTTTTTTAAATTTATATTTTGTCATATTAATCACCCAACGTTTAGGGGTGTATTTGGTGCATACTTTTGATGAATTTGAATGAAATTAAAAGGTCGAGGTATCTAATTTAGATTTTTTGAAAAGGTATTGTTAAATGAATTCAAAAATTAACTAAATATACTCTTTTATCTAAATACATCTAAATACACCATAATATTTAAATCAAAATATAAAAGTAACTAAATACACCACATTTGAATGACTTTAATGAAAAGAAACAGGTTAATCAGCCTAGAAATTAATTTCCAACTGTAGATAATCTTTTGAAGCTACCACTGATCATAGGATGAGCAATTAGTTCATTAAATTGGATCAATTGATATCATTGTCTACTGCTCCTTTCCTACTTGCTTTACAAAATTACATTGCCATATGGACTTGCTTTTGCTTCTGCTTTCTTTCTTTTCAGCAATAAGTTGTGTTCTTATATATATGTTTGCCCTTGTTTTTTCTTTTTCACTTCTCAGGGCCAAAGATTAAAATATCGGCCGTGCAGATAATATCGGGCCTCCAATTTACGGATATTTCAAGGGATATGTCGTTATTGTTTTAGGTATCGTGAAAAAATCAACAAAAATGACAGATATAGGCATTGAAACACATAATTTTGGTGTAAAACTTTCATAGATGTTATGTACATTATCAATTAATGTATTGAACAAATAAAATTCAAAATTTACTAATAATAAGATATACATGTGATGAAATATAAGTTGTATGTAATACGCGTTAATGAAAAGTTTGAAAATAAAATGTTAATTAGAATAAATAAACCATGCATAAATCCATAGTTTGTTTAAACATTGGATTACAATTTAGATAAGTGTCCATCTACATAAATGAAGAGCTCTTATGAGGTTCAAATAATGAGGAACAACCATCTAGATTCATACAATAGTCATACCAAGTCATGTAACCCAAGCAGTTTGTAAGCCATGTTTGAACATGGTGCACATAGGTCTCTCTTGAGCTCTCTATTATCCTCCCATATATGGAATAGTTAAGATTAACCAACTAGTAGGTCTATAATCTTTTTTATCATCTTGAGCTCCATAACTAGTTCAACTATAATCAGACATGACATAACCATAGCTATCATAAGATTCATTTAAGTTAATACTAGGTCTAGTTCATATGCTCATAGATCCAAAACTGATCACCATGTCCTTTTCAGATGGATTGGAGGTATGTGGGTAGCGGACTGTGCATAGATTCTTCAAATTAATAAATTATAGGGTTCTGGGCAAGGATTAGCTATTTTTGTGTTTCAATTTGCTTCAATTGCCTTCAAAACTTCTGAATTTTTTTTTGGGTTCTGTTATGGGTACAGGGAAATATCGGGAATATCGGCAAAATATCGGGAATATCACACTTATCGAGGATATATCGTCGATACAGGGGAAGATATGACCTTACCCCTCAATATCGGCGTCGACAGTTGAAAATACCGATATATCGGTGTATCGACCGATATTTCAATCCTTGCTTAGGGCATCCTTGGGCAGTATACCCATATTAGAACAAAAATCAGTTTGGGCATCGTTGGGCCCTCAGATCAAGAACGAAGTTACAAAGAGATTACTTGCATGATCGGCAAATATTACGAGAGGAACAAATAATATGATTTACATGGGGTAGAGGATTAATACTTTTGGTGGTGGACACGGTTATGTGGGAGAAATAATAGGTAAGAGAAGAAACTTGTTCTCTTGTTGTGGTCAAAAGACAAAAGGTAATAGAACACTATTTTAGATAATGATGATGCTCCTGACTTGATACAAAATGAAGATAAATGGTGGCTTTATATAATAGCCACTACAAGATGATGATTGCATAGTATTATTATTAGGCTTAATTACATTAATGTTCTCTAAAACTTTGATCAAATCTCACTTTGTCTCATTCCCAAACTCAAAATGGCCCACTTTCATCCCTGTACCGAGGTTTGGGGACTCACTTTGTCCCATTTCATCAACTCCATCCAAAAATCTGTTAATTTTGATGACGTGACAAGTGAAGGACCCACTTTTATGTTGATATGTCAATAAAAATAATTAAAAAGTCCTTAAAATAATAAAACATTAATATTCTTAATAAATATTTTTACAAGATGTGGATGATGTTTGCATATATTAAAAATAACCCAAGTCGGCATCGAACGCTAATTTTGCTTTACTTTGTTTTCTTGGAGGAGACTCAACCTTGTTTCTTAATAAATATTTTTGGTACATGGGATGGGAGGGCAAAAAGCTTAAATTGAGTTTCTTTCCCT